CCCCCCCCCCTCCCACCTGGCCGAGAGATAAACGTAACTCTATCAAACGAACTTCGGGAAAATAGACGGGCCGCGGGAAGTTCGTTGATTCTTGTTACTTTATTATCCCGCGAGGCTCCCTCTCCCCCTCTCTCTCTCTCCCTCTCTCCCTCTCTCCCTCTCTCTCTCTCTCCCTCTCTCTCTCTATCTTTCTCTTTTCCTCTCTTTTATATCTCACTCCCTCTCTCTCTCGCTTTCTCTTTCTCTTTTCCTCTTTTTTATATCTCACTCCCTTTCTCTCTCTCTCTCCCTCTCTCTCGCTCTCTCTCGCTCTCTCTCTCTTTCTCCCTCTCTCTTTCACTTTTTCTTTCCCGCTCTCTCGCTCTCTCGGCACTCTCTCCACGCCCTTTCTCGCTCCTCTGCGCCCTCATCGTGCCGCTTCCGCAGTCCATCCCCGCACAGCCGGGTCCAGCCGCACGCTTACACACCCTTTCCGTGTCTCTTTTTCTCTTTGATAGTACACACGATAGCGGATATACTCTATATGAGCCGGCCTCAAAGTGCTCTTTCGAGCCGCGCGCACAAGAGCCAGGTCAACCGCATCGCTCCTCGCCACCGCGAAAGGACACAAAACGGATCGGCGAACCGAATCGACTATAAATACCGGCCACGTCCACGGGCCTGCCATTTTTCGGCGCGATGAATACAGTGCCTGCTCGGCGATCGCTCGATGACGGTCAACCATTATCGCTGCCAGGACGCGGGTTCGTTCTTGGGACTGGTCGCGCGTGCCAAAGGTCGCGCGGGTCATGGCATAGCGCTCGGAGCGGACTCTTTTGATTTCGTCCGTAGCGGAACGTTTGCGACCGAAGTGCTTTAATCCGTCGCACTCGGAAGAGTTTTCTGATATACGGTAAATTCTCCCTAGAATGCCTGAAGCTTGCAATTGAAAATGGTAATCGCCGGACACGCGGACATGATTCTTCGAGCCTCGCGGCTCGTTTTTATAAAAACTCGCGGCAATCGGAAAATGATAGAATAAAAACGATGACTTCACTTTTTTATTTGTAACTTTTTGCCACGATTCGAAGGCAATTCGGAGGCCACATGCCACGATTCGACGGTCACGTGTCGCATCGCACGGTCGACCGACTCCGTCGATGCTTAGATTGGATTAGATTAAATTACATAGGCGTAGCAATCCGAAATTTGGCATTTCCGGGAAGAACTACTGCACTTACCAGCAACTCGAAGCAAATGTTGCAAAAATTGTGATTTTGCTATACAAAGCCGATTCGAATTGATCTTTGTTCTTCAATTGTTATATTATTATAATGATCTACGCTCGGAAGAAGAAATTATATTGTAGAATAAAATGAAGTTTAAACGCAAGCTAAATGAGCATCGCGCGTGTCCCGCGCAATGCTGGGTCCAAAACGATTACAAATACGTACTTACTCTCTAATTATAATTATCATACATATTTCATAAGTATTCGGCGTGATGTAGGAGTAACGTTATTATTATAAACTGATTCATTAATTACATTACGAATCGTATGGTAATTTTAGTATCCAATTTAATTTACGTTAAAGTGACGTTTATTCTGTTATCATAATTTGTGCGAAACGTGCGGTATAATTTACAATATCATTTTGTCGGCTACGGAAAGAAACGTGGCCAGTCGTTCATGCCTGCACGGTGTATGGTTGAAAACGCGATTATTGAAATATGGTGTAGATTCCTTGGAAACTTAGAGAGTTGACACACCTACGAAGAATGTGAACACCGTTGATCATGAAATAATCCCCTCTCTCTGTAATCCACTTCTGTTCACAGTATTTACAAACAGCAGACGAACGCGCAGACTTTTACTATCGATGATTGTGTACCGGTAACGCGTCGGATTAGTCAGCGTCATGTAACAAATGAATGTGAATGAGGTGGATCGTCGACGAATGCTGCAAAAGAATCCTGAACGATGTTACAAATGAGCCGTTTCTTTTGAAAGTGGCATAAGTCACTTTACCGTAATGAAAAGTGGTGATTTTTTAATGTTTATACGAAATTATTTATACTGAGAAAAATATATCAGTATCCTGAGATAACAAATACAAGTAAATCTTCTCGAAAGTTAGCATCCATATTTTTAAACGTGTTAAAACGCAAACCCTCAAAATTTAATCGATATATTTAATATATCGACTTAAAAACAAAGTGACTGATGCCACTTTCAAAATAAACGGCTCAAATATCGAAGTCGATAAAAATCCATTTATTTTTCGCAATGTTCTCTTCGCGGTGTAATCGGTAATACTGCGAACTTGTTGATGCAAACATGCTTTTTAACATGCTGAGAATTCGAATATCGCGAAACAAGAATTTGTAATATAATTAATAATTAATTAATAATTTGCATATGGAAACCTGTTAACAAACATTTTAAATTGCAAGAATCACGAGTAACGTGTCTATGCAGCAATCGTGCGAATACTTCGTGCGACGTGTAAAATAAAAAAAAACATGTATTTTTATTAATACCGCGTAAAAGCGTGCATAAATTAATACTATGTCCACACTGAAAATCATTGAAAATATTGGCAACTATTTTTACGTACCTACGTTCGCACAGCTCAATTATTTCTTTTAGTATTTCTAGATGAAACTATCTGCATTTAAATTGCAGTCTGCAGTTTGAGGCTTTATATTCGATTCGAAAAACACATTTAGCCGATTCTCGAACAATTGAACGCGCGAATAGCTACAATTCATATGTAGAAACCGAATTAAAAATGTAACATTTTTCTGTTGCAGAACCGCAGACGGAAATCCTGGGTGCACCAGACCTGTACATTAATCGTGGAAGCACCATAAACCTCACATGCATAATTTGGCAGAGTCCAGAACCCCCAGCATATATATTCTGGAACCATAAGGACGCCGTAAGTTTCTTCTCCTTAACAAGAAGAAAAACTGTAACGAGTCTCCTCGAAAAGAGGAAAAACCCTGCAACGAGTTTATCGTCGGGCATACAGTTTCCCACGAGAAAACATCCAATGAAACGCAGAGCGTTCGTAACGCGAAACACTGAGACAACTTGCAATTGCATCAACTCGTCCGAGGATAATTGATGATGATCGTAGTTCTCGAAAGTCTCGATGCCCGATATCCTAACACTTACGTCGCGTTCTCGCTAAAACTTCGGTTTTCTGCCTTAATGAAGTTAGTTTGGAATTTTCGACGTCGCCGCGGACCTATTCCCTGCTCGTGACGATTTTATTTCTTCCGACTTTCAGTTTGATCGAAAATCCGCCGGGAACTTTTATTAATCCGCCGATAAATAAAAGTTTTAGATCAGAGCTGTTTTCGAACTTGTCGCAAACGTCATGCGCCTTCGTATTCATTGCTGTTCCAAACGGAAATGAAAATATTATACACGTTGAACGGTTAAAGACCAATAAAATCTTTAATTAATCCTAGAAACGATAACTCTCTTAACGCTTCGAGAACGAGAATTGTTTAAAGCGTTAAAAACATTTTTCTCGCAGTTTTACATTCCTGATGTCCTTGATGCGACTTTGTCATTAAAGGGTTAAAAAGACGATGTTACTGGACTGCGGATCGTTACGTGAAAAAAAATTGCATGCGTCAATGGCTAAATATACAGGGTGTCCCAAAAATTTATCGCAATCCGGAAATGGCGGGTTCCTCGGATCATTTCAAGCAACTTCTTCCTTTACAAAAATTTTCTCCGAGGCATCGTTAACGAGTTATTAACGAAAAACTGATCAATGAGAGGCGAGCTCAGCTGGCGCGAGGCGGAACTGGGATTCGACCGCTCGGCCGCTGGCGCCGTCGGCTCGACCGCTGGCGCCATTGGCTCGACCGCTGGCGCTGTTGGCTCGGCCGCCTCGCGCCAGCTGAGCTCGCCTTTCATTAGTCACTGTTTTTCGTTAATAACTCGTTAACGGTGCCTCGGAAAAAATTTTTGTAAAGGAAGAAGTTGCTTCAAATAACTTGAGGAACTTTCGGATTGCGAGACATTTTTGGGACACCCTGTATAAGAGCCAAATACAGTTTGACTTCTTCCTTTAATAATTTTAATAAGTTGCAATTAGTGGAACATTTTTAGTTTCTTTGAATTTTTCCCGCGTTTTAAATTGTATGCGCTCATTTTTGCTATAAACGCGTAAAATCCGCAATTAGTCATTATTTCGCGCAAAGAGAGAACGATAGTTCTAAAAGGGAAGCGAACTATCGTCGCCGAGTGCTGCGTACAACTGCGAATCGCGCACAGAATCCTAGATCAGAATTAATGTTTCTCTCGGAAGCATGCTATTAGGCCTCCGCTGGTGAAAGTATCCAACTATTCGTGGACATAAAGGAAGCCCATAAAGTACGGCGGTACGGTCGAGCGTTCGCGAAAGAAGGGCCAATAAATTCTGATAAAGTTGATACCAGCAAGTGGTAAATTGTTAACGGCGGCGCAACTGATAATGGCGCATGGGGGACACCATTAGGAGCATTAAGTCTGACCAAGAGCCTCGAGATTCACCGCCGCAAATATACGAACGGGAACGGCCGGCCTTAAGATGAATCTCGTCGCACGTGACTAACGTGTGGTGTCCCGAACATTCTGGAACTGTTAACGAGACAACGGGGACTACAGTAATTCGCCAAAGGATATAGCCTGACTCTACATTAATTGAAACGGGACTTGACCAAATTTGCAGGGACATTTAGACGAATATCCGGGACACTGCCGAGCACCACAAGTTTAAATGTGCAACCAGCCCTAAATGAATACATTCCTACCACTCTCCATGCGTTCTAATTAGTCGCGCATTAAACGTTCACCAAGCTAGTTTCATTATAATCGCCGACTCGATAAGTCATGCTACAACGACCCAAATGCAGTCGGATAACACAATAAACTTGCCGTCATCGGAGACGCGAGCATGAAATCAAAACGCAGCCACACGGGAAGACGAGTTACGTGAATTTCTGCCGGAGCAACTGTAATTAGACCACGTTGGAGCCGAGAGTAATTTCAATCGTAACCAATTCCACTCGAAGGACTATAATCCAATCCGGGAACATTTGAAAAACCCAAACCGACGTCGCGATCGAGAGACTTCGGGACATAGGGACGGAACTCGAGAGTTTGAGAAATGACAACATTGGACCCGAGGATTCGAGCTAAGAGACTTTCGAGCTCGTAGCCTTGAGCTGAGGAAAGTTACATCGAAGAATGCTGTTCACTGTTTTAACATTTCATGTAATTAGTCCACGTTGTAGCCGAGAGAGTAATTTCAATCGTAACCAATTCCACTCGAAGGACTATAATCCAGTCTGGGAACATTTGAAACACCCAAACTGACGTCGCGATTGAGAGACTTCGGGACTTATGGACGGAGACTAAGGAACTCGAGAGTTCGAGAAATGATAACATTGGATCCGAGGATTCGAGCTAACAAACTGCCGAGCTCGTAACCTTGAGCTGAGGAAAGTTACGTCGAAGAATGCTGTTCACTGTTTTAACATTTCATGTAAGAATTTGCTGTCAGCCTTGTAGCACGTTTCGAAGTCATTGGAATAAACTATTTTTTATAAAACGAGCTAGCTCTAAAAGCAGTAAACACCGGTAGTTTTATAGCAGACAGCTATTGTAGACACAACGAGAAGGCAAATTATTTCAAGACGGTTTCACGCCACGAACTTCGATTTCGTTGCGACAAAGAATTCGCTTCTCGCGACATAAAAGTTCACGAATCGCCGAAGGTATATAAGGATTTAGGGAAAAAATAGGACGACTCCTCCCGAGGCACCGACTTTATGGTGCCGCAATGATTCGTAGGAAGGTATAGGGTGCGATGCAGCTCGGTGAAACGCGGCGAGAAAAGTTTCATGCGTCGCGTCCCGGGCTTCGATAACGATAAGGAGAACCGCTCGAATCGTCCCGGGGGAATGAGTCGAAATTGCGAGCCCTCGATGATAAGGTCGACGGGATCGATCGATCCACGGTCGCGGAACATTCTCCGGCCGCAAGGAATCCTCGGCGTTCCGCGGGGTGTCCCGTTGCGCCCCAATAAACCTCGCCCCTCTTTGATTCCGATTGAATTTCGAGACAGCGCCCCTCTGTCGCTCGCGATCGCGACACCATGTGTTTCGCTCGGGTTGCCGGAACGGCAGGGAGCGCCTGCGAATTCGTCTGCAGGCAGATGAGGATCCGCGCCGCGGCTGCAGAAGGCCGCATCCTCTCTCTCTGTGTCTGCTGCGCGTGTCCGCGCCGACAAGCAAATAGAGCAGCAGACCAATCCAGTCACAATTAAATTGACTTAACAACTTGTTCGTTGCCTTTTCGCTCGATATCCGTCGCCGGGACGTATCCCATGTCCTCGGCCCCCTTAATCCGATTCCCATCCTCTTTGACAACCGGCCGCGACCGTGTTGACGCAAAGTTTTTAGCCCTTTACCTTGCAATTTTCCCCGCGATTGGTCTGCTTCGTTTCTGCGGCGGGACTCCGCCGGCTGAGTCGTTTATATCCGCGCCATCTGTTTGTCAACTACTTGTTGTTACGAACGAAAGTTGAGCATGCGATGCAATAACGTTCTGATGCGCGGGTCAAGTTAGATTTTGGGTAGGACGGTTCGAAAGGACTTGCGCACTCGTTGTAGGGTGTAGAATACTTCTTTTCTTTTGGTACATTTTTGTTACAACATTAACTTTCGTGCAATCCTTCGTAATGTCTTCGACTAAAGTATCAATCACCCTCGATTAAATGAATTTTATTTATACTTTCATTATTCGATATTAGATCTACCATTGATTTCAAATTCTTCGTTTCGCAGTTACTGAAATTATAAAGTTGCATTCGTAGTAAATACGATGGTTAAATATTATAGTAAAAATCGTGCAAAATCCAAGTTTCAATCTTGCCATTTGTACAGGGCCACACGCATTTCACAGATGCGATCAGAAATAATTTGAGTCTCGGTTGCTAAAACTTCAATTTGGATGTTAATAATAGAATTTCCATTTCTTCAAAGAAATTCAGTTATAGAAAACACTGGAAACTCCGTGCGACGAGCGTCTCTTCTCGATCGTAGTTGGTCAAGATCTGAACAGCGCGATCGCGCTGCTTGGGGCTCAAACGGTTAAGAAACCCTTCGTTTTAATTAAAGCCGGTCAAACGTATTGGGTTGGCAACTAAGTAATTGCTGATTTCAGTTATAGATGTCTCTCACTCCCATTTTTATGGTATCCGTAAATGTTATATTATAAAATTATTATTATTATTATTATGTTATTTTTTATTATCCGTGAATGTTAGCAACTGGACAAATTGTATGCAGCGGACAAGGAAAAGCGACCAGAATTGGTCAATCGTAAAGGTGTCATTTTCCAGCAGGACAATGCTAAGCCGCACACATCTTTGTCCACTCGGCAAAAATTACAGATTAAACTTCATTCCAAGTAAAAAAAAATTTTTTATTTCATTGAACAAATCGGCGATTACTTAGTTGCCAACCCAATAGTATACGTCAAAGATGTATCCAACGCTATTAGACGAGATTCGAGATCGGTAGATCACGCGTTGACGAAGCGAATGCGATTTGCATTAAGCGGATCAACAAGTTATCAGGTTGGTGTAACACGCGAAAATCGTCGATAAAAGTTAAGGTTGCTTTGAAATCAGAGGTGAGCCGAAGTTCCGTTGCATTCATTTAAGTTCGGCGGGCTGGCTCGACGGCGGCAGTGAAACTTAAGCGATTAACAAAAATCGATTAGAACGCACTAGAAAGTTTGTATCGCGTTGCAGCGAGTTTGCCCGCGGAACGCGATGTAATCGTTTCGTGTTTATTAGCACGGTCTTTCCCGCGATTGCGTTCCTCGCGCGCATTCCTGCGTGTAACACGACACTATTATTTCCGTTGATTA